ACTACATTTATAAATTTAATATACTGGATTTTTTCAAGCAACTCAAATTCCTCATAGGGCAAATTTACAAGTCAAACAAGAAAAAACCTTAAGCATGTAAATGACTCTCATAAGCCTAATAATTCAAGCTTCTAAATGTAGCAAATCAAGTTATCTTAAAGATTTCAATACTGTTTACAAACATAATCAAATTACTGATACCTTTCAGCTTCAAATTACAAGTCTAAGATAAATTACATAATTCAATTTGAAATCACAAGACTAATCTATCAGATTCTCTAACATGCCAACTTCTTTTAAATATTATACACATATTAAAAACACACACAGACTATCTCAGTCTTCAAAAATCTTTTTCCTGACCTTACACAAATGAAGTAACATTATGGACTTACTTTACTTTTTTTTTTTTTTTTTTTTTTTATTTAAAAAAAATTTTGGGGGGCGCCTGGATGGCGCAGTCGGTTAAAGCGTCCGACTTCAGCCAGGTCACGATCTCGCGGTCCGTGAGTTCGAGCCCCGCGTCAGGCTCTGGGCTGATGGCTCAGAGCCTGGAGCCTGTTTCCGATTCTGTGTCTCCCTCTCTCTCTGCCCCTCCCCCATTCATGCTCTGTCTCTCTCTGTCCCAAAAATAAATAAAAAAACGTTGAAAAAAAATTAAAAAAAATTTTTTGTTAATGTTTATTTCTGAGACAGAGAGAGACAGAGCATGAGTGGGGGGGGGGGGGGCAGCGAGGGAGGGGGACACAGAATCCGAAGCAGGCTCCAGGCTCTAAGCTGTCAGCACAGAGCCCGACGCAGGGTTCAAACTCACAGACTGCGAGATCATGACCTGAGCTGAAGCAGCCGCTCAACCGACTGAGCCACCCAGGCGCCCCTGGACTTACTTTTAGTCATTTCTATTTTCCTCCTGGAGGTGGTGGTAGAATAAAATGTTTTCTGTTCATATTTTTCTTGCCATAATTCTACAATCATCTTATTGATTTTTCCCTATAACTAAAGAAAAGTCTGATAATTGTCCTTCTAAATGTAAAACTTGGTTTAAACAAAACTAATAAATGTATTAATTTATATTATTTATCTATGCAAAGTAACAAAAATAACACTTATGTTAGAGTGAATGATGCAACTATTACTTTATACCATCCTGTTCTTCCTTTAGTAAACTTTTTTTTCTTCATCTGTAAAATGGGAATAGTAATTTCTGTCTTAGAGAGCTATACAGCCAAACGAGACATCTGTCATAAGTATAATAACTCAACACATGTTCATTTCCTCCTTTCTCCTTTTTTGCCACTACAGCATTTCCCGAAAACTCAGATTAATGTGGAGAAATCCCAGGGTCTCTCTTTCTTCTAAGTGTAATGGGTAGGGGGCATATCTAGGAGGCGTTTTGTGAGACGGAAGAAAAACGACTTTCTCTGGAGAGGAATCCCTCTCCTCACTCTGATCCCTCCACTGTCCACAATGGGGTTTTGAGATGATTTAATGTTTTAAAAAATAGAAATAGGGGTGCCTGGCTGGCTCAGTTGGTGGAGCAGTGACTCTTGATCTTGGGGTTGTGGGTTTGACCCCCACGTTGGGCATAGAGATATCTTTTAAAAAATGGAAATAATGTGGGTACGGTATTTATATCTTTGTTTAAAGGATGTGTTAAGGATTCTAAGTCCATATGAAGACAGTCTCTTCTATTACACTACATGTTATACTATACACTATATTACATATCACTATATAAGGGGGGGGGCGGGGAGGAGGGATTGCCCCACACCCTCACTAGGGTAGCACTTTGCTCTGAACCTACACAGAACTCTTCTCTCACAGCCCAGCAGCATTGTTACTCAGGCTCCTAGAAACCTCGTCCTTTTTCAGTAAACACGGGAACCCATATCTCTAAGCCCAACCCAGAGCTTCCCTTGCACTCTGATTCACAACACCCCCAATTCAGAGATGCTGGACGGTGCCAAATTCACCCCATCTTTCCCTGGTGTGGTCCTCCTGAGAATTTTACCAAGAAAATGATCCCATTCTAGAGGAAGCCTCACTGCCTGCCAGAAATGAATTGGAGAAGTTTCTCTCAGTAAAGTCAGAGGTCAGGTGAGAAAGGGGTCAGATCCAAACATGAGAAGGTTGGTGAGTGCAGCCTGTGTGGGGCCAATCATCACAGAAGTCTGAATGTTGCGAAGTAGTTTCACTGTGTGATGTGATGAAGCAGGTAACTTTGAAGAACTGTCTTCCTGCTGTGTTCTTAGACAAAGCTGGGAAAAGTTGAAGCATTAGGCACCAGGAATGATTCCAAGATTGCAAAGCAAGAGTTGAGATAAGTGGAGCAGAGAGTTTTTCTGATTTGCATGTTGATTTCAACAATGGATGCCTACTCAGATGTTACTCTCCAGATGTCACTTGCACACCTTCATGCTCTCCCCTCCATTTGGTTGCCAAATCCCATACTCCAGGTGGAGGGAGATTCTGTGGCTTTAGCCCCTTCAGCTATTAAGTGATTTTCTCAGAAAAGTCTGTTTTCTGCTCATATTAGTTCATCACCTGACCTTGGTCTTGTGAGGCTGCCCCTCTACTGGATCATTCATACAGTTTGCTGGGGATCTGCTACCTGTCCTATGGTCAATAGGCCAGATCACTGCTTTTTGTTCCCTTATTATCCGGTGGGCTGAATTTCCCCTGCCCCACATCTTTGATATGCCATAGTCTGGTGTTTACCTTTTTAACATGTCCAGCAATTGGTGAACATGCCCCAGAAGCTGGGTTTGCTGGTTTTCTGGTTCCTGACCTTTGGACACTTCAGCAATCTTTGGTAACTCCATTCCATCTCTCCCTCTCTGTCAGGCATGCGCGCACGCGCGCGCGCACACACACACACACACACACACACACTCACACACAGGATTAGAGATTGAATTAAATCCATATTTTACAAGTGTCTTTGATCGGGGCCTTTACATCTGAGGTGGGTACAACTGGAGAAGGATATGGTGGTGGTTTTAATTAATGAATTAATTTTAATTTATTTCAAAGCTATTCAGATGGTTAGGTCATAAAAACTTATTCATTTCACTGAGTGGTTTGGGCAAAGGAAGGATTTTGTCTGGATGGACACCTAGTGACCTGAAATAAACTTTTTTCAGACGAGGTAAACTAGCAGACACATGAAGGTAAACTGTGGGGTGGGGCGGGGAGGCAGGGAGATGCCGGGTACAAGGCCAAGGTGGATTTCATACCCACACCGCACAACTGAGCAGACGACACCCAAACACGCTTCTCTCCCGGGGCTGGACTGCCCCAAATCACTGGCCCCAAAGACTCAGGCATCTAGACCTCTTTGATGGAAACGAAGCTACGATTTCAGAAGAACCACCATTTTGAGAATTTAACTTCCTTAATACCTGCCTATCCATCTGCTCCCCTGCACCCCCATAAACCCCTGCCTTATCCTATGCCTCCCAACTTCTCACGCCTTCCTTTCGGCAACCCCGGAATGCACTTAGATTTCGGTTTTGGAAACTTCATTCTGGAGGAATAAAGAGTGGAGTGGAGGGGACCAGGGTAGACTCCAGCCAAACGTTTTGGGGCTCCTCATGCCTTACAGGATAGAGTTCCAACTCCTTCCTTACAGGGGCAGAGACCGCCACAGTTCGCGCCACTGCCAGCCCGCCTTCTTCCAGTGAAAGTCTTCCAGCGGTTCTCAAAACCCAGTGGGGAGGTGCGCCCGGGGGCCCCGCCCACCAGAGGGCACGCTGGCGTGCTCGGTGCGGCGACGGCCATCTTGAATTCGGGCAGCCCGCCCGCCTCCACGGTCTTCTGAGCCCTGGGGCGGTAGTGCGGCGGCTGCGCGCGGGGGTTAGAGGGGAAGGATATACCCCCTCCCCGCTGACCCCTTGGCGGGCTTGTGCTGCAGACCAACGGCCCCGTTCCCCACCTGGTCGGCTTCTACGTAAAACTTCGAGCCAGTACCCTGGTGGCAAGTGCCAGCTCCCGCCCATTCTACCTGGTGACTCTGGGCAGGTACCTCAGTTTCCTTTATATAACTGTAAAGTTGGGAGTTTAAAGCCCCAGCCCCACCTCCCAATCCCCCAGGTCACCAGCTATAAAACCTACTGATTGGGCGTGGATGATAAATTCTCCGCATAAGGCTTGGCTCGTAGTATGTGTTCGGTGTAGGTTGTCTGTGAACTTTCCCTGCAGATTGCAGGCTGCTTTGTAGCCACCACCCTTCCAGCTGCAGGGGGGCGGGATATCCAAAGGTGCAGTCTGTACTTGGACTGTTTGAAGACCAAGTCCAAAGGGAGAGGGGATTGGCAAGACCCCCTCAGGGAGTGCAAGTGAAGCCCCTAAATCCTTTAGGACTTGCACGTGACCATTTTGGAAAGGTGTCAGAAACACAGACCAGGGTGCCCAGGACTGGAAAGACTTTGGAACATTTGAACGCCCCCGTGCTTGTTATTTTTATCACTCCTAGCTGCCTTTTCCCATAGGGACTCCTATGTAGCACAAAATTCCTGGAATCAAAAGCCCTGTGTGTGCTGGTTGTGGGGGACATGGGGAAGAGAGGACTGGGACACTGTGTCCCAGGCAGAGCCAGGTGTGGGGGTGAAGGGCTTTTTGGGCCAGCATGGATGGAGGCCCCAGGGAGAGAGGCATTCAAAGCAAGCCTAAGGTGCCTCTAGGAGTCCCCAGGCATATGCAGAGGCTCTACCAGCCAGAGCCCAGCAACTTGGAGTCTCCCAACTTCCTAAAGGGTGGGAAACTTGCCTGGGACACAGAGATGAGAAGTGCCTGGAGAAGGGGCTAGGAAAGGTGGGGAGGGGCCTAGGCCTTGTAGGGGGCTGGGGCCTGGGAAAACCACACCCAGCCCTCTACTGGATTCTGGAGGCCTAATATGAGCTTTTATCCAGTAATAAACCAGGTAAATGCGAGGCTCGCCCAGGCTCCCCCAATCCAGCCTGGCGGAGGGACGGGTAGCAGAGGATATAAAAATTACCAAATGGGAATCAGAGATTGCAGTTTATTTCAGACACACTCAGAAGGTGGGGGCTGGCCAGTGGGTTCCGTCTGCATCCCCTCCCTGCATTTGGCTTAATCTACCCCCAAACCCCTAGACTGTGCAAGATAGACAAGGCATTCCCACCCCACCCACAGGAGGGGCTTAGGCAGGTGAGGAGTGTGGAGAGTGGGGGTCGGGGGGGTGTAGAGTTCAAGTATTCACAGTTTCCCCATCCACACCCCCGGATTACACTGTGCCCAGGCCGTGAGGGAAGATCCCAACCCCAGGGTTCCTAGTGGCATTAACAGCTCTTTTCTCAGAAACCTCAAGACGAGTTCCTTACCCCCTTTCCCTGACAATAACAAACCAGTCCTAAATTCTGTAGGCTGGGCAAGGAGGGAACCTCAGCACTCCACTTACCCAAGACCCCTCCTCCTTCCTTATTTGGAGTGATGGGGGCAGGGTGGGCTTCACTTGTAGTGAATAGGTTGGATTTAAGTGGTAATAGATGAGGGGAAGGGAGAGAACTGAGGATCTTGGGAGGGGGGCTTGGGGGCTGCTGATGAGGTTCTGACAGCTCTGGTCTGCACCCTCAACTCCATCTCTACCCCACACTGAGGCCCAGAATCCCTGAGAGTCCACTGCAACGGTGATATGGGGTGGGGGGGAGTGGAGCAGGGGGAGAGCTTAGGAAGGGCCAGGGCTGGGCTCCAGGCCCAGCAATCAAGCTCTGACCTTCTAGAACACCTAGCTGAATCCTGGGGAACACAGGGTAGTCTACTAACTCCCGCACCCAGACTTCCTGGCGTGGGGAGAATGGTGGGAATGGGTGGGGGGAGGGTCCTTCCAAGGGTATTACATAAAGATATAACCATTAAAAATTTTGAGGGGAGAGTGACTCTTAGCCTCTTGCTTCTCCAAGTTGTAAATCTCCCCAGTGCCCAATAGATAGGGCTGAGGGTGTCCCAGAGAGCTGAGGAAGAAGGCTATAGCCCCTCTCTGACAGGATGGGGCCCAGAGAGGGGGCCCATTAGCACCATGCAATGTTGGGGCACCCCTGGCAGCCTAACTGACCCCCATGCAGGGGCCCTCCCAAAGCTGGAGTGTCCACTTGCTAAAGCTTCTGTATTCTTGAGGGGGGACCCCTGTAGAGAAGGGGGGGATGGGAGACGGCTTGGCTGAAGCCCAGGCAGGGGGTCTCAGCTAGGACCCCAAAGGGCCCCTCTGGGAGTCATGATTTGAAGAATCTTCGTACCACAAACTGGCCCAACAGAACCACAGACAGAACTATCAGCACGTTCACGATGGGGCCATTTCCCAAGTTCAGGGCTGCCACCTGCCAAGAGACAGAGATAGAAGGGCTGACGGCACATACAGGCACTCCAGGGCTGGGGTGGGGCTGGGAGAGAGGCAGCCCCAGCAGCAGGGAGGAGGCTGCCGACGCTTGGGCACTTACCCAGCCGCCCCTCTGCGCAATCCACCGGGCAATGCAGTGACGCAGCATGACGTCGACCACCAGTTTGGTCACCTGGCCCAGGAAGCCGGTCAGGCCGTGCTGGTAGATGTGTAGAGCCAGGCGGTAGCCAAAGCCCAGGAGAGCCACCACTCGGCCCCAGTTGATGCCGCTCTCAAATAGACTGCAGGTAGAGTGTTGATATTGTCAGTGGAGACCCCCAGAGGGCCCTTCAGCCTGCTTCTCCTCTCCCACCGTCCGGTGGCAACCCACCCCGCTCCCAGCTGGAAAGCAAAATGGCTTAGCTGTGACTCAAGGTGGCAGAGGTTGCCCCAGCCTGGCCTCAGTTTGGGAAGAACCTGCATCTCTGTGAAAGGAGGAAACTCAGAGGGCGTCTGAGCGGGGTGCTGCTGCCAGGTTGTGGCCCCAGCGTCGCAAGTGCAGAGGGGCAGAGAGCAGGGAAGGCAGAGCAAGTGGACGGAAGCAGCAGGGAGATTACCTGTGGGTGTTGCTGCTGGCCTGGCAGCCCGAGAGACAGCAGAGAGAAAAGGACAAAGAGGAGGTTAGGACAGGACCTGGAATCAGAGTGGAGTGGGGAAGGCCTCGAAGGACAGGGGCAGGATGTTTCAGCTCTGGGCGCTAATCCTCGATCAGTTGCCTCCTCCTACCTTCACCCCAGCTTCAGTCACCTCGACGCTGACTCCTAACCCAGACGTAACAGCAGATGACACCTTTAAGTCTGGACACTGTTCTAAGCGTCTTTCCTCTATTTTACAGACGTGGGGACTGAGGGCCATAGATTCACAAAGCCGGTAAGTGGCAAAGCTGAGATTTGACCCAGGCGTGTGGGCTCTCTAGCCACACCAGATGGCCTTTCGGACACCACACTGTAGCAAAGGGAAGCCATTTCCAGGGCATTAGCAATCTGACCATTTTTGGTATGAAATATGGTTCCAGATCAGAAGGCCAGCTGTGTCTCAGCTGGGCTGGGGAGCTCTGGGGACATCCCTACTCCGGCATCTCTATAGTCCTGATCTATCTGGTCCAGTCCCGAGTGCCCAAGCTCACAAGAGCTGTGAGCTTATATACCAAAGAGGAGCAGTCTGGGGCCCAGAGAGAGAAAGACAGGGCCCGAGGCCATGTGTGAGTCAACAGCAGACAAGGGGTGGTGCACATGTCTCTTGACACTGACAGAGAAGCGTGTATTTCCCATCCCACGGGCAGGGCACAGTGCGGGGGTGACAGCGCAGCACAGAGGCCAGGGCCAGGGCTACCTTGAGGCAATCTTGGTGAAAAGTTCATAGGCGTTCTCTGCTGTGGGTTGCAGGCGCTGCAGCATGGCCTGGAACTCTGAATCGTAGCGCTGGTTGATGTTGTCCCCAATGATGGCGAGCTGCCGACCCACCTGCCCCATGGTGCTGCAGAACAGGAGGCAGGTAGGTGAGCAGGCAGAGGGCGGGCAGGGCTGGGGCCTGGACTCGGGGAGAAGGGGTTCCGCCCAAGATGCCCCTGGCCTTGTGGACCCCTCCTTGGAAGTTCCTGACCGTGTTCTCAGACATGAGGGCAGAGTGCAGGATCACGGGACAGGCATATTCTATAAAGGGTCCAAGATCCCCGATCAGTGGGGGGGGGGGGGGGGGGCCCCGGGGCCCGGGGCAGGGGGGAGCCCCAAATAAAAAGGGCCTCCCCAGTTCCCAGGACCTGCACAGCGGCCCCATGTGAGCCTCCGCCTCCCTGAAGATACCCCCGTGGGCCCAGAGGGCCATTGCTCACCTGCTAGGTTCTAGGGGCAAGGTGACTATTTCTGGGTCAGTAGGCGCAGCTGCCCCCTCAGCCTCCTGCTCCTGCTGATAACGGTGAAAAACATAGCTGCGGAAAACCTCCTCGGTGTCCCGGGCTACCTGCTCCTCTGAGGATCAAAGCCAGGAGTCAGGGAGGAAGGGCTGGACGGACGGCCCCATGCTTTGTGGATGGGTCTTTCTTCCTCAAGGCCTCGGCTGTCCTCACCCGTGAACAGAAGTGTCCCTACTCCAGCCCTTAGTTAACAACTAGTGCTTATCGCGTATAGGATATTTTTCTAGCACGTTTCACTGAAGCCTCATAATAGCCTTGTGAAGCAGACGAACACCCCAGTTTACAGGTGGGGAGCTGAGGCACGGGGTGTTTACATAACTTGTACAAGGTCACACAGTCAAGAATGAGCAGTGGAGCCAGGACATAATCCCAGGCATGCGGGTCCCTGAGTTTTAGTGTGTACAGGCTGGGTAGCCCTTATGGCTCGGGGAATGTGGGAAACAAAATTTAGAATTCCAGCTTTGGGTCCAGAAGAGTTACATAGGGACACAGTGACATACAGGGGACTGAACCCAAAGCCCAGGGAGCAGTCTGTAGTGGGCTGGGAATCGCAGCCCTTTGATGGTCCCCTTGGAAAAGGGAAGAAAGGCAGCCATCTTACTTCCCCCCCAAAGTCATAACAATCGCTTTCACCAGTCAGCAGGGCTGCCGGGGTGATAAGCCTAGGAACTTCCTTCTTTCTCCTACTGTAGGAATAGAATAGCCACGCCCCACTCTTCATTCTTCTCCTCACCCCCTCCTGCCTCTCTTCCTGGAGATGGCGTGGTGCCCACCTCACGCTCACTCCCAGGCCTCTCCTAGCCTCTGCCCCCCACCCCCAGGCCCAGACTCCTCCCCACTTCCAGGGCTTAACCTGGACCGCACTGCAGCTTCTGAGGTCACCTGCACACACCTGCACTGGGTGGGGAGATGCTTTCTGCTTTACCCAAGGTGAGTGAATGGGGGGGGGGGGGGGCAGGAGAGCCTGCCTGTAAGTCTGGCCTGGCCCTGTCCACTCCTGCTCTCTCCATCCTCTCAGACAGCCCTGGTGGCTGTGGGATGGGGGAGGAGGGCAGAAAGACCCTTACCAGAAGTAGCAGACGGGGCAGTCTCTTCACACTCCTGCCTGGGAGGGCCTGGGCCTTGCCCGGATGCCATTTCTCAGGTCCCAGTGGAGGGCAGCGCTATCCTGTGGGGACGGGTGAGAGACAGCAGAGATGGGGACTGGCAGGGGCTGTTGATGAGGGGGAGGGTCCCCCACTCCCCCAAAAGACCCCTCCATCCTAGCTCCAGCCAAGTCTCATTTCACCACCCTGGGTCCCTGTGGAGTCTGTCGGCAGAATCAGAACTTACTGAGCATTTCACTAGCAAGAGAGGGCGAGAAAGGCAAGGCAGTCAGGATTTGTACCTAGGGACCTGGACCCCGCAGCCAGGGCCCTGGGGAGGGGTGGTTGGAGTAGTGCCCTCGTGGGTCTCAAGTCCTCTTTCACCTCGCTCCTGGGTAAATGAGGCTGGCTGCAGAGGCTGGGGTTCCTTCTGCTGCTCCTGGGCCCTCCTGCACCCTCCCTAGCACACCCTTACCACAGGATTACCACCTTCTAGCCAATGACCCATGAAACTTGTGCTCGGAGGTCCCACTTCCCCTTGGCTGGTCAGAGCACCCCTGTTTTCCAACTCAGGCCTGTTAGCTACGAACACTTCCTGAGCACCTATGGTATACTTCTACTGCTCCCCCAGGGGTGTCAGACACTGAAAATGCACATTAACCCAGCAAGGTAAGCATCATCATGCCCCTTTTACAGGTGGGAAAAGTGAGGCACCAAGAAGTTGGGGCCCGAGGCCACATAGCCACTCAGGGAGTCAGGGTGGTAATCTGAATTCCCATGAGTTCATACGCTCAATACTCACATAAGATTTACTTTCCAGTTTGTGGACCTCAGAGGTTACCCTTTCAAGACAGTCACCTGTTTACATCCTACCTTGGCTTGGCTCTTCCCATTCCTGCCTTGCCGTGAGCTGAGGAAGTCTTCTCCACAGCTCTCCCACCCCGCCCCCCACCTGACATATGTGTCCCCACCACATACCTGCTGTCCCGTCCCTGGCCCCAGTTTTCCTCTTTGCTCAATCCTGGCCACAGCCCTGATCTGCTCTGTGAACCCTCAACAGAGGGAGTATTTCCTGGACGTGAGCTGTTTCACTTTCAATTCTCACCCCTTCATACCCACCCCAAAGCTGCCTCCATCACTCTTTGGGGGAAGTGGCCTTCCTCCTGCCTCGGGGGAAGGCCCAGTCCCACCCTGGGCTGAGCACAGCCACCGCCTCCTCCCAGGGAGGACCTGACTACCCTCCTCCCCGCCCAGTCCTCCTGCCTCTCAGGCCTGGGGCCATTTTCGAAAGTGCCCCAAGGCAAGAGCTCTCCGGAAGGTGTGGAAGAAGGCTCTCCACCCCTCCACTTACTGGGGGCAGGGATAGGGAGAAGCCCGACCCTCCCTTCCTCTGTCCCTGGGCGCCAGCTTGAAACAGATCTTTGCCTGGCACACCCCCATCCCTGCTCCTTCCGGAAGATGCCGTTCCCTCTCCCCTGGTCCCTGAACGAGACCTGGAACCCCCAGGACAGCAGGGGGGGTTGCTGATTGCACCACCAACTCTCTCTGCCACTACCCCAGGGGCTCACTGCTGGGGAGTAGGTGAAACATCAGAATGGCCCCCAGGGCCAGAGGCCTATGCTGACCTGGGCCTACCCTTGCCCTCATCCAAGTGGCCTGACTTCCTGGTAAGGGGAGTCCATTGCTCTCTACTTGCTGGGCTTAGAATATTCCCCAGGGGGAGATGCCTGGTTGGGCTGCAGACCCAGTCTAGGGCTCCTACGGCAGCAGGAAGCACCAGGAAAGTTCTCTCCCTGACCTTGACCTTGGCTCCGATCTCCACTCCCACCCCCCACCCCACCCCGCCCCAGACTGCTAAAGGACCTGGTTCTTTGGCACCCGATTTCTTTGACAGGAAGGGCAATGGGGGAGCTGTCTGAGGGGAAGCCAGAGGGAGCCCCGGCTGGATCAGGCCCCGAGCAGACGTTGGCGGAGCTGCCCAGGCAAGTCTCCGGGCCTCCCTGTCCCCACCTGGCTGCCTGCAGGCTCCTTGTACCCCCCTGGGCCTGGGGCTGCCGAAAGCCGGGAGGATGGGCAAGACCCTCCCACCTTACCTGCCAGGACCCTCGCCCAGGCCCGGGATGGCTCACAGGGCCAAGGCCAGAGATCCTGAGGGGCCAGCGGCTGCTCCTGGGGGTCGGGTGCCCAGGCCCAGCTTCCTGGAACAGGCGTCAGTACAGTCCCGATGTCTGGACGCGGCTTCTGCTTGCCCCGGCTTGGCCCTAGGGACCCGCGAGGCTGCCCGGATCCTAGACGTGCCGGCTCTTCCCGGCTCCAGTTAGCTCCCTCTAGAGGAAGTCGCTGTGTGGCCGCCGGATGCTGATGAAGGGCCTATAGCCTGGGGGTCGGTCTGGGCTCCTCCGCAGAGGAGGTGCTCCACCCTTTACACTTGGCCCCGGCCAGGTGGCAAGGCTCCCCTTCTCCCACTTCTGATTTCCAGTCCCGGTCTTTGATCTTTACCCTCTTTCATGAATCAATACCAATAAAAAAGGCAGGATGGCTTAAGCACCACAATGTGCCTTGCACTTTAGTTACCATTCTCTCATTGAATCTTTTTTTTTTTTTTTTAACAGTATGGTACTAGCTTTATTAATTTATTTGGGGGGGGCGTGCACGCGCGCACGTGCACACACACACACACACTCACACGCAAGCAGGGGAGAGGCAGAGGGTGAAGGAGAGAAAGAATCTTAAGCAGGCTGCACACTCAGCGTGGAGCTCAATGTGGGGCTGCATCTCACTACTGTGAGATCATGACCTGAACCGAAATCAAGAGTTGGATGCCTAACCCATCAGGCCACTCAGGTGCTCTTACTGAATGTTTTCAATAACTCTTGGAAGTAGACGCTGTCCACTGCACCCGTTTTACAGACGAACAAACTGAGGCTCAGTGAGTGGGCTGAAGGAACTCGCAGGGTCACTAAGCTGGGTTTATAATCAAATCTATAGGTGTCGTGGGAAATAATAATACTAACTTGAGATTCAACGTGCAATTAAGACGGGCGCACAGGCACCCTGGTGGTCTCTAGAGATTTGAAATCCTAAAGGTGACAGGCAGATAAACAGAGATGAAAACAGGGGTGTCTGGGTACCACCTGAGGATGTGCAAGTGGATGCTGAGAGGCAAGAAAAGAGGGAGGATAGACACTATCTGGCTGTGAGGAGTGGATTTGAAAGACAAGCCAGGTGGAGAGAGTTGTGTGCAGAGGCCCCAAAAGCCCCTGCCCCATTCCCAGTCCAAGGACCCCCAGCTTCCTCTGCCTGCTCCCCACCCCCATGCCTTCTGGAGCCTCATTAGCCACCTCATTAGCCTCCAGTCTGCCTTCCCGTACCTTTTCCCCCTGCCTCATCGACCTCCTGCCCTCTCTGCCCCCAACGAATCCCCTCTACCATGTCTTCCTCCCAGGCTCCCCATCACTCCCCTGCCCTCCCCCCGCCACCCCCGGCCTTTGCCTTCTAGAACTCTTGGAAGTTTCCAACTGGAAGTTTTAATTTGAAAACTCCTCCTGTTCTTAAGCAGTTGGTGGGGTGGCTGTGACTGCCCCACCCTTCGAGTCAGGGTCTCTCTCGGGATGGAGGCCCCAGCTCCAAACCGTCAATCCCGAATTTTGGGCCGCTCCTCCATGTTCCGCTTTTTCCGTAGCCTGGTGGGGAACAAGGGCAGCCCAAAGAGCTCTGACAAGACCCCGATAGGGAGTCGGACATGCCCCTTGCGAGAGCAAGCCGCCACCCCATTGGTGATGAACCGCCATGGAGGGGTGGGGAGGAAGGAGCCAAAGCCATCCACCACACTACCCTACATGCTGTCTGTGGCCTTGCCACGGCAGGACCCCTTGGGGCTAGGGATGGGGGACACAGGGGCCCAGACCCCTACCCCCACGGAAGTCCTGAGGGTGGGGGCCCAGGGTGTAGAGGTGAAGCCTCTCCTGCCCAGGAGAAGCCAGGAGGTGCTGGGCAACCTGTCTGGGAAAGAGGAAACGGAAGAAGAGAAGGAGGAGGCGGTAGGGGAGGCCTCCGGGGATACAGAGACCTCAGACAGGTGAGGGACCGGGCTGTGGATGGCGGGCGGGAGCCTGGGATGGGGGTACTGGGGCAAGGATATGGGAGGACCCCAATTGAGGAAGGCCCGGGAATGTGGGTCTTCAGATGGGTAGAGGACTGGAATAAGGCACGGGGGTTGATGGAGGGACAGATGTATCAAGGATGGGAAGGAGCCTGGGGGTGAGAGTATTGGGCGGGGGGCAGAGATGGGGTGGGTCTTCCCACAAGTCAGGGGATGTGGGTGGAGGCCAAAGATAGAAAGACAGGCTGGGGACTGGGACGAGAGAGTGCCGAGGTGAGCCAGGCCACCATGGCTTCCCAGCTCCTTCCTGGTCCTCACTCCACCCCGCCTTCCCTCCCCACTCTCTCCCTCCTCATTCCCACTCCCGTGTGGACCTGGCACCACTCCCTGTAAGGAAAGGGCCCACCTACCCCTCTGCTCCCCACCTTCCTCCTCACTCTACCTTCAAGGGAAGATAGCCCCCTGTATGATGAGGACCCCAAAAGGCCCAGCAGGGAACTGTTGGAGGCAGGAGGGTGGAGGGGGCTGAGCAGGGCCTATAGGAGGGCCCTTGGGGACTTTGGGGGGTTTAGGGAGCCTTTGCCACATGTCTGGGCTCCGCCTGCTACCCCCATCTGACTATGCTTTGGGATCAGGGGCCACTTTGCCCAAGTTTTGGAGTTGGAGCAAGGATGCCTGCAGAGGGCCATGGGGCCACTGGAGGTCAGCCCCGAGACCTTCACCAAGGAGGAGGAGAAGGAGTGTCTGCTTGACGGTGAGTGTGGTGGCCACAGGTGTCAGGCCAGTGCCAGAAATAGATCCTGTTCCTCAGACTCCTCAGGGGTGTGGGGCCTGGAAGGACACAGGATAGTCTGAGGGAATGCTGAGGGCAGGCTGCGTGGATCAGAGTCCATTCCATTCCCCTATGCCAAGTCGTGTGATAGTGGCAAGTTGCTCCCCGCTTCTGTGTCTCAGTTTCCTCATCTGAAAGGAATGAGACCATAACAGTATCTATCTCAGAGGGCAGTTGCAAGGAGTCAATGAAATGTCCTTTGCAAAGTGCCTGGTACTGTGCTGAGCACATAGTAGGTGTTTGCTAAAGAAAATGAGGGAACCTCCCCCTCACTTCAGCCTGCTCAGTGCCCTTGCCCTCCTCGGCCTGGGCCTGGGCCTGGGCCTGGGCTGCCCCTTGTTCCTGTCAGCCTGTCAGTGACACTGCACCTTCATAGGAGACCTCAAGCTGGCCTCTTCGAAGGTGGGGACAACTCCTTGGAACCGCCGCTTCCTCACCTTGTACAAGCAGCTTCAGAAATCAGCCGTCGCCAAGGTCTGTAGAACCAGGCTGGGGCAGTGGGGGGGTGGGTGAAGCCTGGTTGGGGCTCCTCCTCGCATTTGGCTGGGCCCCAGGATTTGGGGCTTGGGCAGACCCCTCTTAACCTGGTGGGTTCCCTCTTGCTTTTTGTTTTATCTGGGGGTGGGGCTGCACACTTGGGTCCCTGTCATCCTCACCTGCTCAGTGGCCTGGCATGCCCTCAGTTTCCTCTCAAGGAAGGCTTGCCTGATGAGGAGAAAGGCAAGGAAGAGGAAATGGAGGAAGAGGACAGCTCATTCAAGGTCTGTGTCCCAGGCATTGTCACCCTGCAGTCACCGCTGCATAAGACTTTTAGGTCAACAGATACAGTGGGTAAGTGTGGCGCCCAACCTGCCCTCCTCAGGCCAAGGGGGCTCCACTCTGGCCCTGACTCATAGGTGTGATACCAGTTCTTACCACCAGGTGGTACCAGAGGACCTAAGATGACCACTGGAGAAGGGGTTGCAGGGGGACCAGTGGGTGGCTCAGCAGGAGCTGCAGGCTAGGTCTAGCTAGAGTCCTCCTTTCTCAAGGTTTGGGGGGGCAGTGAGGTGGGGATTGTGACTACGGCTTGCGCTCCAGAAGCATCACCCACTCCCAACCCAGAATTCTAACTTGTTCAGTGGGCATCTCCATCCCCAATTTTCCCATCACACCCTGCTGTTGACGGTGCCCCAGCACTACCCAGACATTGTGAGCAGATGACTCAGTGGTAGCGATATGACATGATAACATCACATGATCATTGTTGACATTCACATAGCCATTACTATGGGCCAGACCCCCTTCTGAGCACTTTTCGTGAAATACTACTTCGCAACTCTGAGGTAGGTCCTATTATAATCTCTACTTCGTCATGAGGAAACTGAGACACAGAGAGGTTAAGTAACTTGTCCAAGGTCACACAGTAGTAGGTGGCAGAGCTGGGATTTGAACCTAGGCAGTTTGGGTAGTTCCAGATCCTTGCTCTTGAGTCTGTGGCTGGTGGAGAGTGGAGGCATATGTCTGCCCCTTGCACGCTCTCCCCAGGAGGGGAATAAACTCACACTCATGCAGGTGGAAGGGAGCGCTTGGCAAGTGAGTTTGCTGGCAAAGTCAGGGAGGTGGGCGGGCAGTATCTGGCTGGTTCCAGGTAATGGAAAACATAAGGGCTGGGGCTGGGGGTGACCAGGGACTGCACACGGCTGGGATGAGGTCTGGCGAGCCAGAGCCGCCTGCCTGTCCCATGCCCATCTCTCTGTCTCTCAGGTTTCGTGGAGTCGGAGTTAAAGAAGCTTTTGGTAGTACAACGGGAGTCCCGCCTCTGGAAGATGGGCAGTCATGAGGGCCGGGAGCTGCTGACCCAGCCAGAGATCACCCTGGAGGAGGCAGGCATTGTGGACGGCCAGGTAGGCCTGGCCTGTCCCGACCACCACCCCCTGCGTGAAGGCACTAGAGAGAGCGGGGCCTCCTACCTCCATCGGCTCCTGGCCCTGGCTCCAGCCTCCCACTGTCTGGGTAGGGAAGGCACAATCCCTTCTTGGTGGTGGTATTTCCGAGTAGGACCTTGAAGCCCTGTGCATACACACACTTCTCCATCAGTCTCTCTGTCTCTCACTTGACCCAGAGTCCCAAAATCCATTAAAATTAAAAAAATAAATTTTAATGTTTATTCATTTTTTGAGAGAGAGACAGACAGACAGAGAGACAGAGTGCCAGCGAGGGAGGGGCGGAGAGAGAGAGGAAGACACAGAATCCAAAGCACACTCCGGGGTCTGAGCTGTCAGCACAGAGTCTGACAGGGGGCTTGAACTCACAAACCATGAGACCGTGACCTGAGCCAAAGCTGGACGCTTAACCCGACTGAGCCACCTAGGTGCCCCCACTAAAAAAAATTTTTTTAATGTTTATTTATTTTTGAGAGAGAAAAGAGAAAGAGTATAAGCAGGGGAGGGGTAGAGAGAGAGGCAGGCACAGAATCCAAAACAGGCTCCAGGCTCTGAGCTATTAGCACAGAGCCCGACACAGGGCTTAAATCCACAAACCATGAGATTATGCTTGAGATGAAGTTGGACACTTAATTGACTGAGCCACCCAGGCACCCCTAAAAGTCCATTTTTTTTTAAGTCTTAACTTTGCCGTTCACTTGCTGTGTGGC